CACACTAAAGCTGAAACTCAGGGCCTCCCTGGCAGGGCTAGATCATGGTGCCCACCAGCGAGTGTCAGAACAGGGGACAGTTCACATTAGGCTGAGCCATGACACTAAACAGCATGCAAGAGAACCAGGTCTTGGGGCAGATTCTGTGAGGGAATATGCGGGTCATCCCTGTGGGACTACAATATTCACTGCTTTGCTCCAGAGCTGAGTGGGGTGATGGGCTGAGCTAGGCATGAACATGGAACTCCCAAGACACTCATGGGTACTGGACTTGGGAACAGGCCATGTTGACCCAAGCTAAAGCACCCATAGGCACACTTAGGGATAGGGTATGGGGTGGGCTGGCCCCTGACATCCACCAGCAAACACACAGAGGTCAACGCAGAGAGGCAGACTATGCCAGATAAGGGCCTAGCACCCACTGAAACAGATAAGATGTGGGTCTGGTGGGAGAACATGGGTACTCCATACTGAGCCATAGCTCCCACTGGTGAGCACGTGAGTCAGTGCTGGGTGTTAGAACAAACAACACTGCTCCACTTGTCAGCAAATGTGTGACTGATTCTGAGAGGTAAGGTAGGGTGGGGAATGGACCAGAAAGTGGCTGGATCAAACGTTAGCACAAGGGCATGTGCAGGAGCCAGGATGCAGTGTGGGCCATGCTGGGCTAGGATATCACACAGTTAACACACAGTTAACATGAAAGCCAGGGATGGGACAAACTGGATAGGCTTGGGCTATAGCACCCACCGGTAAGAGTTGGAATTGGGGTGGACTGGCCCAGGCCAGGCTGCAGCATCCATTAGAGAAGGCCAAAACTGGGGATGAGGCCAAAACTGTCAGGCTGAGTCAGAATAACCACCTGCATTCACAAGATCTGTGGATAGGAACAGGCCTGGTTAGGGAGCTAAGGGGACATCCCAGCTGGTTTGTGGTTCCTACTAATGAGCACAAAAGCCAGAATGTGGGTGGCGAACTGAGCTGATCATGACTGCAATATATTTTGACATGGATGTTGACTGAGTCTAGGTTGTGCCAGACTGGGCTAGGCTCCAGCACTCACTGGTGCTCACAAGAGCCAGGATGGGTATAAGATGGACTGGGCTAGGTCTCAGCACCTACTGAATCACACAAGAGCTGTGTCTATGGGTGGACCAGGTATGGCTGGGCTGTAGCATCCAACTATAAAGCTGGAAAGGGTATGGGTCAGTCAGACAAGGCCACTGCTCTGCCCAGCACAAGACATGGGCCAAGTCGGGCTGTGCCAAGCACCCACTGGTGTATGTGAAATCTGTCACTGGGAGGTGACCTGATAGAGGAGATTGGGGTACTCCTCTGTCAGGACATGGTCCCTGCAGGTGGGCACAAAAATCAATACTGAGAGCAACCCAGACCAAGCCAAGTTACAGTACCCATCAACAGACATGTGAGTCAGGTCGGAGGTCTAGCCAGTTCATAGCACCAACTGGCAAATATGAGAACCAGGATGGAGTGCAGAACAGGCCAGATTGGGTCATAACAAGAGCTAGTTCCCATTAAGGCCAAGATTGGGGACTGGCTGGCCTAGGCTAGGCTGCATCACCCAACAGCATGAGATGCAACTGAGAACAGGCCAAGACAGGCCAGGCTACAGCACCCATCAGCAAATACCAACTTATGGCTGGCCATGCCAACCTGGACCCCAGGACCCACCAGCACACATGGGACCCAGGTTGGGGCAAGCCCAATAAGGAGAAGTAAGAACTCCCCTGCAGTGCCACTGCTAGCTGCTGAGTGTGAAAACTGGAATTAAAGGAAGACCAGGCTAGGCAGGACTACAATACCCATTGGCCTGTATGTGAGCTGAGTTAGGCAAGCCAGGCTGGGTTAACAACTGTATCCTCTGCTACATGCATGAGTCAGAGTAAATGCAGGTTGATTGGGCTTTGCCACAGCATCTGCTAGCAACATCTGCTAGGAATGGGGCAAGCCCTATCAAACTAGACTACAGAACCTCCTAGAAAGCACAAGGTGTAGGTTGGGAGTAGGCCTAGTAGAAAAACTGTGAGCACCTCTCTGATGGACTGAAGCTTCCACCAGTGAGCATGAGAACTAGGGCTGGGGATAGACCTGGCAGGACAGGCAGTAGCACCCTTCAGAATAAATGTGGCTGGATAGTGGGGTTGGCTTGGCTGAGATAGGCTGCAGCATCCATTAGTCTGTTCAAAGGTCAAATGGGATACAGGACAGACTGGACCAGTCCACTGCACATACCAACATGCATAAGAACCAGAGCTAAGGGCAGGCCTGTTGGGGGTAATTGGGGGTCACCCTGACTGGGCTATAATTCCCACTGATGTACATGAGGACCAAGTATGGGTGGGCAGGGTTGGGCGAGGCCACAGCATCTATTGGTTTCATAAGAGGTGAAGTTAGAGACTGAACTGACCTACCAATGTGTATGTAAGCTGATGTAATTGACAGAATGAGCCATACTCAGTATTGGCTAGCACACACATGAGTCAGGTCTTAGGTCATCTCTGATGAGGTATCTTTGGTGACCTCCAGCTGAACCACTACACTAAAACCACAGGGAGATTCCAATAATCTCTGATCTGACTGTAGAGTGTATGAGTCAGAAATGTGTCTCCTCAGTTGCTGAAAGTGATGCAGCAGACAGCATGCCCAGATGCACATGGAAGATATGGAAGTCCATTGGGATCTGCAGTGGACATCTAGTGCCATAGCAGAGGATGTAGGCAGAACAAACTGGACAACTCTCCCAGTCAGGCGTTGACAAGCATCTGGGTGTTTGAAGACTCTAAGATGGACTATGTCAGCCATTGGATATTGGAAGAATTTTCTCATCCTTGGATCAACTATATCAACAGCATTTCAGAACTATCAAAACCACTTGTGGGCCCAGCACGGTGGCCTAGCAGCTAAAGTCCTCACCTTGAACACACCAGGATCCCAAATGGGCGCCAGTTCTAATCCCAGTGGCCCTGCTTCCCATCCAGCTCCCTGTTTGTGGCCTGGGAAAGCAGTCTAGAACAGCCCAAAGCCTTGGGACCCTGCACCCACATAGGAGACCTGGAAAGATGTTCCTGGCTCCTGGCTCCAGATTGGCACAGCACTGGCTATTGCAGCTCACTTGGGGAGTAAATCATCGGAAGGAATCATCTTCCTCTCTGTCTCTCCTCCTCTCTGTATATCTGACTTTGTAATAAAAATAAATAAATCTTAAAAAAAAAAAAAACACTTGAGCAGTACTCTTGAGCATGTTCCACACTGGGCATCCTGAGATGATGTCTGGTGGGGGTCCCCCATCGCCGGGTGCTGATGATGTTAGGTTGCTGGGTAAGGCTTCTCCTCTTCTCTCCCAGTTTTCCCCACATACATGAAGAAGAAAAAGAAAATTGGAAACAAATTTTCCAATTCCTATTGCTTCACCTTTCCCACCTTAATCAGTGTTCAACATGGGCATGCATCCTTCTCAACTATGAAAACATCATCAAAAGTAAATTTTTTAAAGGTAAAAAAGCCATGATGTAAGCAGCTGAGTGTATGCAGTAGTAGAGCAGGCAGGAGACCTTGAGAGTAGTGGGAGAAGGGCTCAAACAAGAGGACGTTTTCCAAAGTTAGTCTGAGGGAGCGGAGGAAGGGAAGATGGGTTAGGGACTGGAGTTGGGACCTCTTCTCTGACCTCCAGAACCCCCAGGCTCCTAGAGAATAAGAGGTCCCCTCAGAGAACACTATTCAAAGCTGAAAACAAAGCTCATGGACTCCTCTGTCTACAGGTGCTATACAAGAGGGGGTCCCTCCACCACATTTCCCAGGAAAGAACTTTGGCCCTCCCAAAGATAGTCATGCCTCTTCCTGCCCTGATCACCAGAATTTGCTCCCAACTATGGAACCATCTGACATAAGTCAACCACTTCTGCTATGGGGAGACCTCAGGAGTGGCAAGATTAAGCTCCTGGACACACTCAGCTGGCCTGTTACCTGCTTGCCCTCATCCTTCATTGCACATGCCCTCTGTGAGTTGCCCTGGATGACCACCCCAGAAAACCTTCCCACTATGATACCCTCAACCAAGCAGAGCATGGAATGTGAGAGCCGCAGCCCTGAGCCAGAAACTGTGGGCCCAGCCCCGAGGCTGCCCGTGGCCATAGCCACACACAACTTCATCAGCACTTGCCCATCTGCCACACAGCCTTGAGCTCCCAGCTCAGGACCTCCCCTCAACAACAACCCCCAAGTTGGGGTGGTGGTGAACTCCCTACAGACCTGGGCCAGGGAGCCCTGGCACAGTGCTCTGCACAGCCTGCTTCTGGTGGTGGCCCTGGAGCAGACAGAACCCTGACCACCACCTACAGCTCCCCGAGAACCCGAGGATAAACTGCACTGTCCCAGATGCTGCTTCTGCCTCTTCAGCTTCAGCTTCATGTCCATGTAAGAACCCTGGGCTTACTCTCCCACAGGGGTCACCCAACCACACACAGCATTGCTGACACATGAGACTAACACATATAAATTTTTTAAAGCCAATTTCAATCAAACTGGCTGGCTGGCTCTGGGCTGCCCTCAAACATTCAGCCCATGCACACTACTACTCCCCGTCCCCACTCCTGTCACCAGGGCAGATTCGTGATCACACAATCCACGATCCCTTCTAGAAGCTTCTTCACCCTTTTCCCATGATCACACCAGTTTCTGGAGTGAGATTTGAAGCAGGCAGCGTGCTGGTGACAAATGTCAGGTGTGGGTCAGGCTAAGCACTGTCCAGTGAGGAAATGCTGGGCACTGCAGGCCCCAAGACAGAGGAGATGTCCAGCAGGATTCAGGCATGAACACCTATAAGAATAAAGCATCAGTGAGCTCCACAGTTGGTTGCCATCAAGCCCCCACTCAGCCCACCTCGCCCACAGCCCCCAGGACAGCCACTTCATCATATTCCTTCAATGCTTGGTCTTCACCTGCCCCATCCATGCCCAACCAAGTCCGGGAAAAATCTTTCCATTTGACCTCTGGGACCCTGTCCTTCACCCCCCTGACCTGGATCCACTATGCCACAGCCCTTGGTCTATCATTACCTGGATTCTGCAAAGAGCGGGCTCTGTCTATAAACCTGAAAGATGCCATCTCACAGATGCAGGGAAGAAGGGTACTGCACGCCTGTGACTTCAAGGACCATGACCAACCGTTCTGTAACATGGCACAGTCGCCACTGTAATGACTAAGCCTACATGTGAGGTAAAGATGAGAGATAACTGAATAATCTCCACTATCCCCTTGCCCTAGGGAAACCCTGACCCCAGTCCCAACACCCTCTGTTTGCGTAGCGCACAGCTCAAGGATATTTATCTGAATGCCAATCGAAAGACTAGAGGGTCAGGGAAGAGCCCTGTCCCCAAAGTCTGCAGAACAGAAAACTCCAATTACCTGGTAACACAAGCAAGTGGCCACCTTGTCTCAGGACTCACCCTCTGCTCTAGTCCCTTGGATTGCTCTGGCTCCCCCAGTGGTCTTTCTGGTACAGCAAGCCTCAGTTGGGCTGGTGTGTTTAGGGATGGCAAGTCAGAAGGCCCAGGTTTCCCAACAGCTGTAAAACCCTGGCAGAACCTCAGCTTCTCCCTCCAAATGAAGACATATATCCCAACCTAATAACTCTTTTATTATCCTAACTGTACCAGGGATTTCTAGATACTAGGAAATAAAGACTAAGACTCCCCCAAAACTTCATTAAATAGAGAAAAACAAATAGGCAATTGTAATATTAACTAATGGAACATATCTGGAATCAGGATTAAGGATGAAGTTACTTTGATATTCTTTTTCAGGAGATATAGAACTGGAAACAATCAAAACTCCCAACACACTCACCCATCATTATACAATGTACCGTCACTCCACCGCCAGTCCTTGTTAAACCTGAGGCCAACCCAGGTTTCCCTGGATAACTCCGACATTAAGCTCTTCCAGGAAGAATGCTGAAGGGAAATTCAGAGAGCACAGGTGTGTGGGCAAAAACGCACGCCACACGGCAAGAGGCCAAGGAGGCCAGTGACACCTGAGTGCCCATGGGTGAATGGGCCATGGGGTCCTCAAGGGCCCAGCCAGCTAAGAATCCCTGCCAGCACTGGCTGGCGAGGAAGGCCTGCCTGTACCAATGTGCTGCAAGAGTTGAAAGGCTGCTGGCCACTCCGTGCTAGGGACAGTGACTGTTCAAGTCCGCCAGGGCACGTGGGCCAGCACTACCAATCTGACCCCATGATACATCTCTACGCATGGCATCCCCTGCCATCTTACTTACTTCTGAATAAGAACTCCAAGGAGTGTCTCTTACTATGGCCAGGTCAGACAACAGTGACTTGCAATACTTCTGGCTTTCTTGCCAATCTCTCTTAGTGAGTGAGATGTGAAAGCATCTTCTCTGGATCAGTATCCAGCCCACCACACAGCAGGCATCTAGAAAGCAGGGAGAGTGTGATGAGAGCACCACCCAGGATAAAAGCTATACTCATGGTCTGGGTACTCACCCTACCCTCTGTGGACTTATAGCCCTAGACCTCTGCAATCTCTCAGCTTCACTCCGCTGCTTCCACCACGGAAAATGTCCTGTCTGTGTGTATTCACTAAAAGGCTTCATATTCAACAGCATAATTCCTCACTCTGGGAATTTTCACAGGAACACTGTTCCTACCCCAAACCCACTTAATTTCTGAACACTTCGCAGTACACCCCAAATTTTGTCAAGCATCTCCTGAACCTATAATTATCCACAAGTCCTCACACTCATTCATTCATATCTTCCTTCCTAATGCAGTTGCCACCACATGTTCAAGTCATTTCAACATTCAAATCATTGCCACATGGATTCCCTTAACTGTGATCAAGCAACTAGAATGACATCACTGGGATGGCATGAACATAATTTTGCTTGTGAAGGACTTTACTGGCTCCAATAAGAAGGATGTCTGGGATGAGTATGGTAATGCCTAGGGAACAAATTCATAGATAGTAAGGGGCAAAACATCAAATGGCTCTGCAGAACTGGCATTGCAGCATGCAGGCCGTGGAGTATGAGATGAGGGCATCAGCCAAATGCAGAAGGAAACTAGGTGCTGGGCAGCACTGGAAGCTGCCCAGGGCACCAGGAAGTGCTTGGCGACCAAAGTCTCAGTGGCCCCAGGCAGAAAGACCCCACAACATGACACACCTTGGTGAGACCTTCACACAGTGGTCAATCAAGTTCCTGCAGACATGAGATCTTGCCAGTCAAGCACATGAAGGACACTGAACAAAGGAGTGAACAGTTGGGTGATGGTAGGACCTCAGCATGGGCACAGAGGGAAGTGAAGACATGAGATGGCTGATGGGCAGAGAGGAAGGGGAGGTGCCACGAGCCATGGACCTCTATGAGGTTGCAGAGATATGGGGTGGAAGAAGCTGTCATCAGAGTAGGCATTCACAGCTGTTCTTTCAGCGGAGGTGCATTCAGGGATGCTGTGGGAATCTGAAGCATCCCTGGCATGGGACCTCATAGCACAGAGAAGAAGATCCAGGAAATGACAGTTGGAGGTGTCTGCACACAATCTTCCTGCCCCCTCGGACAGGCAGAGCCTCACCCTTTCAAACTCCCAAGCCCTCCCCATGCCAGTGTCTGTGGCTCCTGGCACCTTGCCTAGGACCTCAGCTTGCTTCGACCTGATGATTCCCTTGCACATGTCCCTTCTTCCATAACTGCTTTCATAAAGGATAGACCATGTGGAGCAGAGGGTCTGCCACATTGTAAGATCCCAAAGCTTCCCATCCACCCACCTTCCTATGAAGGCTCTTTGTGGACGTCAGCCACCTTGCCCTCTACCAGCCTGCACATGGAACAGCTGGAGACTCTCCCACTCAGCTGGTCTCCACAGGAGCGGGCAAGAAGTGAAGCTATGTCCTTTGAAACCAGGTGAATCAACTTCACATACAAATGCAATAGATTCTACTTCTTTACTGCTGCTGCTGTCCATGGAATGAAACTGATTTGCACTGTGGGCTGCCACCTGAGGAGGTAAGGATGCCCAGTGTGCAGCTTCAACCTTCTCCCTGCTGGCTGGTGGCTACAGCTCTCATCAACCCCAGCTTTGCTCCACTGCCTTTTTCCTGGTGAACTTGCTGCCTCCTGAACACTTCCAAACCCCTGCTCCTGGTCCCCTCATCTGTCTCCCTCATGCCCAGCCAGCCCCTCTAGCTCCCTGGGAACCCAGAGCAGGTACCTTGTAAGGGGCAGGTGAAGAAGGACCTCAGTGTATCCTGCAGGTACCTCAGCTTCTGCTGCATGGCCTGCTTCTGCACCATCTCCCTCTCCAAGGTTTCTTTTGTCTTCTCCTTTTCTGCTTGGTTGATTTGCAGCTGCTCCTTCACAGCCTGGTGTGCCCTCTGTTCTTCTTCTAGTGCTCTCTGGCTCTGGGCCCGATGTTCCTTGGAGTCCAACAGGTCCTTTTCCATCTGCCCCAGCTGGACAGCTCCGAGATGGAGCTGCTCCTGAAAGCTGTTATTGGTGGTTTCCAGCAGCCTGCTCAGCTGCCCGAATTCTTGAGATGCCTGCTGATCTGTGTAGCCACAGTGAAGGGATGAGGAGGCAACGTGAACACCTGCTGCAGCCACACCCCCAAGCCGCAACACTCTGCTATTAGACACCTATTCTGTGTCTTGCAACACTGCCCACCACAAGACTGAAATATGACATCCTACCCACAAAAGTTTAGTGATTAGGGAAGACGGGGTGCTTGTGAGCAGGCAGCACAGGGAACTAGTCCCAGTGCTGAGCAGGTAAGGGAGGTGACTGTGGGGTGCACTGGGCAAGGGTAACTGAGGGTGGAGAGAACAGAGGATAAGGTGGCTCGGGGTAAGTGCAGGGCCAGATTCAGCCATACTCACATCGCACACCCAGGCAGATGGCAGCCACTCCTAGCAGCAGGCAGGTGAGGAGCAGACCCAGCAGGAGGTACTTGGAGCAGCAGGCGTGGCCATGGCCTTCACAGTCAGAGGAAGCAAAAATGACGGGCTGGGGCGGGATTGGGTGGGAGGGTGGGCTAGAGAAAACATCTCTAGAAGATATGAGAGGGTGGACAATGGCCAGCTTCCCTGGGTGACAGGGGATTGTAGTTCTTGAAGAGGGAGAATGTTCCAGAATAAGGCCTGGTGTGAATCTGGATGGAGGGGTCATTACCTGGTAACAAAGGGAACTAACCCTCAGGTGAGAGAAGAAATGGGTGGAGAAAGACAGGAATGGGGACATCCCAGGGGTGGGGTGTGCCTCTGCAGCCACAACAGGGAGGCTCACCTCCACGCAAGGTGAGCTGCTAGGCTGTGTGGCTCCTTCTACCCATAACCTTATCTCTCCTTCTCCCTGGGCTCCCACACTGTTGGCAACAGGAAAGAACTTACGTGGAAGCATCTGTCCAGCAGTTGGAGAGGCAGTGCTGCTCCAGGACATGGCTGGCTGCTCCACCCGGACCTCTGGGACGAGAGAAGAGGTTTCAATGGAGAAGCCTGGGCAGTACCTCAAGCCTCCTGCGGGAGACCCCCACCACATACCCCCATTTCTTCCCTCTACCTGCAACTGCTCTGGGATACCCTCATCACCCACAGGGCTCCTGACAATCTGTCATAGAGAACTTCCCCCGGGGCCCCATCATGGCTCTTTGGGGTTCTCTTTATGGTTTCTTGAGGGTAGGAAGGGGTTCAGGCCCAACTCTCCTCCCGATTGATCTCTGTCCATTATCTACCTTCCCCCTTGCCCCATGGCTCCCCTTTCCTCATCTGAGCTCAGCAACCAGGGCTGCCCCACACTCTGCACCAGTTCCCCTCAGGGACCCCACCTGGATTTGGGATGCTACTGGAACCAAACTCAAGTTTTTCTCCCCTCCTAACCTAGGGTAGCATTGCTGGAGACCATTGTGGACTTCCCCGCTCCAACACAGCCCCCACCCCTCAACACACACACACACACACACACACACACACACACACACACACACACACAAAGTCCTCTGGGCTTGCCATACCTGCTTGGTTCCCAGGTCCGGGGGCCAGCGCTAGGCCTGTGGGTGCCTCTGGGGCAGAGGGCACTTGCATGTTCTCATAGGTGACCTCCCCATCCTCGTCAGACTCTGGGAAAGAAGATGAGAGAAGAGAAAAGGAGAGATAGGAAGGGAGAAGAGGGGAGTGAAAGAACGAAGAGGAGAAGAGAGGAGAGGAGAGGAAAGGAGAGGAGAGGAGAGGAGAGGAGAGGAGAGGAGAGGAGAGGAGAGGAGAGGAGAGGAGAGGAGAGGAGAGGAGAGGAGAGGAGAGGAGAGGAGAGGAGAGGAGAGGAGAGACCCATGGCATTGAGGCTGGGGGCTGGCAGGCTCACCAGAAGGAAGAAGTTGCAAACACCCTTACCCTGTCCTGAGCTGGAGATGTTCTTCCTCGGAGAAGCCTTCACAAACTGCAATTCTGCATAGGTGATGACCTCTGCCATGGTCCCTCACAGCACCCCTGCTCCCACCACCTCCTTGCTTGCTCACCTAAGCCCCTCTCCTCTCCCACCCTGCTCACTCTAGAGCTCTGAGTTCCCTCTGTGACCACACCACTCAGCACTTGACCCTGTGACCTGTAGTCACCAAAGAGGAAGATGGGAGTGCATCTCAGACAGCTGGGCTTAGTGAAGCAGAGGCCTTTGTGGGTGCTAGTCACAGGGCAGGAAGGACCCTGGGGACAGAGTCCAAGGCAGAGGAGCTGAGCCTGGACCTAGATATCTCAGAATACCACTCACCTTTCCCACCATGGTGGCAGAGCTAGGCCCCAGGTCTCCTCCACTCCTGACCAGCCCTTGCATGTATATGTGTATATGTGGATTTCTGTGAAGGGGTGTGTGTGTGTGTGTGTGTGTGTGTGTGTGTGTGTGTGTGTGTGTGTGTGTGTGTAAATAGTTGCTGCTCTCTGGGCACCAAATGATCCAAGACACTCAACCCAGTTGTTGCTCCAGGTTGAAGCCCCCTCCTTGTCCCCATACTACTAGGGTAGGGATCTTGGCATGACACCCCAGTTCTACAGCATCCTGGGGTTTCCAATAGATATGAGTTCCTGTGAACTTGCATCTCGAACTACCTCCACAACCATCCACTCAGGAATTTTGAAAATTAACAAAGGACGCAACACACAGGCGCCCACTCCAAAGCTCTCCCTGGGGATGGAACAGCTTTGGAAGGAGGCAGGTGCAAACACACTGTTTGGTCAGCACCCTCTCTTCCTCCTCATTCCTCTCCTCCTCACAGCTTCTTCCTGGCAACTTCACTCTCCACTGATCAGGCATTTGGTCCTCAGTCCCTTCCTCCTTCCCATCTTGGCACACCTCTAAAAGGAAACAGGCCTTTGTGGGGATGGAGGGGGTGCCAAGACCTGACAGGCCTATGTGAGTGGTAAGAGCCCAACCAAGTGGAAAAGGAGATCAGGGAAGGTCTAAGGAATTAGATCTGCTGGGCAGCTATACCTGGAAGTGTTTCTAGAACTTTGGTTTCCAAGAGGCTGTCCCTCACAGATGTATGACTTCCCAGGTCATATATCCGGTGATGGCACTAGGAACTGGCCCCAAGAGGGATAACAAAAAAACCCAAGGTCTTGAGGGTGACACTTGCCCTCCTCCCCCAAAGCCCCTCCTGCAGCTGGGGAGGAAAAAGTCCAAACCACAGGCTAACAGCCCATGTGGCTACTGATGTGTGGCAGATACTAGGCCCTGCTTTCACAGCTAGCCCCAGAGAAAGTGGCTATGAGGGCACGAGGGCACACTCGTCAGCTCAGGGAACCCTGTGAGAAAAGGAAGGAAGCACCTATGTGTGCACGTGCACAAGTATTCAAGGATCATCTGTTGGGGTGTGTCTGGGACAGGGGAGCATCTCTCAGGACCCTCATGGATGGAAGGTTCTGTGTCATGGGCTGCCTGTCACATCACTGTCACTTTCATCAGGCTGGGACTCACTGGACCATTTTCAGAAAAGCCACTAAAGGCACAGCAGCCAGCACTGCGAGTGTTTCCTAAGGCATCTCTGCAGCTGTTCACCGCTCTGCTTGACTAAAGTTTCCAACAGCCCTGCCCTCCTCCTCCCCACTACCCACAGGACCTCCCCCACATAGACAGTGTGAGACCTGTGGGTGACTCCCTGGGGAGGCAGAGTGGGTGGGGACATTTAGAGTACAAACCCGTGTGTGTGTGTGTGTGTGTGTGTGTGTCGATGTATTTGTGTGTGTATGCGTGTGTGTGTGTGTATGTGAGGTATACAGCCATGGATATGGACATCCATTGCAGGAACCTGGGCAGGTAGTTCACAAACTGTAGTTAATGTCCTGGTGCTCACAGTCAATGCACAAGTGAACGTGACCTGGCTGCCTAAGAAAGCACCAGAAACAAGCTGAGGGCATGCTGTGCCCAGCACAAGACCAGCTGGGGGAGAGGAGTGCAAGCTTGAGCTAAATGGCTGCTTGAGCTATCTGCATCCCCTGTTAGGTTTTAAATGCACTTAAAGTTCTTAAAGTTCTTCTTTTTTAATCGGAAAGGCAGATAAACAGAGGAGGAGAAACAGAGCAAGATCTTCCATTAGATTAATCACTCCCCAAGCAGCCCCAACGGCTGGAGCTGAGCCAATCCAAAGCCAGGAACCCAGAGCCTCTTGTCTCCCACATGGGTGCAGAGTCCCAAGGCTTTGGGCTGTCTTCGACCACTTTCTCAGGCCACAAACAGGGAGCTGGATGGGAAACAGGTAGGTGGGAGAGACTAGGGGGAGAGGCTGCAAGATATTAGGAGGTGGAATTCTCAGGAAGATGCCAGGAGATTGCTTCTGATTGGTCAATGACTAAAAAGGCACAAATTTCATGAGCTGTAGGAAAGGGGAAGCAGGATGTGGCACCCCATCCAAGATGGGATGATCAAATCACTCCTCACATCTCCTACCAGCACAGTGCCCTTTTTGAGTCTCAGCTATTCTGCTTCCCATCCAGCTTTTTGCTAATATACACCCTGGGCAAGTGCAGACAATGGTGCAGGTACTTGGGTACCTGCCACCCATTTAGAAGAAGTGTATCAAATTCCAGGCTCCTGGCTTCAAGCACAAGCATGATGCTTGCAGGCATTTGGAAGGGGAATCAGAAATGGAAGTTGGACAATTTCTTTCTCTCTCTCTCTCCCTTTCTCATTTCGCCCTTCAAATAAAGTGCAAATATGTAAGTAAACGTCTTTTAAAAGTATCAGAGAGCATGTAGCCTCACTCTTCTCTCCCAAGGCATCTGCAGAGGGTGCCCCCCTGGAACTGGGGTGGGCAACAGGCACACAGGCACCGCCTTGGCTCCCTAACAGGCCTGGTCTGCATTCCTCCCTCTTAGCCCTTCTGCTGACAGACACCTATGTCCTCATGACATCCTGCTTGTCTTGAAGCCATGTGTCTGCTGATCTCGTGGGAGTCTGGTTGAAGAATCAACACTGAAGTTGATTCACTCCATCAGACTGAGGTTGGAACCTGGCCACAGGCTGAGGTATCTGCTTCCAGAACTCTGTGGGTGTAGGATGTATGTTCCTGCAGGGTGGGTGTGTGCCCTGAGTCAGGCTTGAACAAGGCAGATCTCTGAACAACTTCAATAGCAGGAAGGTTATCTGGTAACAGTCACAGTGTTGGCTATTGATTAAAGGAGGTACATCCTAGTCCCACCCTGGCTGTGATCTTTAGGCAGGGAAGCTCAAAGAACTGGGTTGTTAGCCATACAGGTCGTAGATTTTTCTCCAGGAGAGCATTGTGCCTTGACACATTAAGCCATCAGCAGCAATGCTGGCATCCCATGTGGACATTAGTCCAACTCCCAGTTGCTCCACTTCCAATCCAGCTTGCTGCTAATGGCCAGGGAAAGAGGAATAGGCAACCCAAGTTCTTAGGACCCTTTACCCATGTGGGAGGCCTGGAAGAAACTCCTGGCTTCCCTTTGGCCCAACTCTTACTGTTATGCTTCCTTCACTGAAATTGCCCAGCACCTGGAATGGATCCTGCAGCAACTGCCTGAATTAGCCCCCCCCCCCCACCACCACCAAGAGTCCCCTGATGTCCACTAGGTTGAGAAAGAAGGACCTTGACCTCCAGGAAATCCCTTTGCCTCACTCCTCCTTATAACTTCTGAGCACAACACGGGGGAAGCAGGCTTCCACACCACAGCAGCATGCCTAGGCAGCCTCAGAGAACCTGGGGACTCAGGGTTGGGGGGGGTGGTACAGAGCAGTTAGCTTGGAGACTCCCATGCATCTTTGAGTCCCAGGTGGGCAAAGGGGGGTTGGTGGTAGGGCACCAGGCTGGCATGGAATGCTGGTGAACTGGGCTTGTGGACTAATTAACATGCTTGCATCCCACCTGGGCAAAGAGTAGTGTCCCTGACTGGCACATGTGCTAAAGGATGGACTCTGGGATCCCATGTGGGCAGGTAAACCTCCACATCAACACAATACCCCACTAGAAGATCAGCTGAAGAACCTATGCTCTCACAGAGGGGAAGCTGTAGATTGATCAGGGAAGGGTGCATGAGATGTGTCAGGTGCCAGGGAGACCGCTGAGGGAGTACATTGCAGGTGTGGAGTGACTTCCGGGGGACTTCTGCCAGCAAGGCCACTGTACTTGCAGGTAAATGAGGGGGCAGAGGCCAAACAATTTGGAGGAAAGAAGCTAGAACACCTTTGAGGATCAGACAGATGCACCTGCCCAGGTGTGAGACCTGAGCTGGGCTAGATAGCCTTGACCACCACTGATCACAGTTCATAGCCTCACACTAAAGCTGAAACTCAGGGCCTCCTGGCAAGGCTAGATCATGGTGCCCACCAGCGAGTGTCAGAACAGGGGACAGTTCACATTAGGCTGAGCCATGACACTAAACAGCATGCAAGAGAACCAGGTTTTGGGGCAGATACTGTGGGGGATGTGGGCTCATCCCTGTGGGACTACAATATTCACCGCTTTTCTCCAGAGCTGAGTGGGGTGATGGACTGAGCTAGGCATGAACATGGAATTCCCAAGACACTCATGGGTACTGGGCTTGGGAACAGGCCATGCTGACCCAGGCTAAAGCACCCATAGGTATACCCAGTAACAGGGTGTGGGACAATCCAGACAGCAACATCCACTAGCACACAGAGATGCTGAGACAGAGGGGCAGACTATGCCAGATAAGGGCCTAGCACCCAGTGGCACATGTGAGATCTGGGTCTGGAAGCTGGCCTGGTGGGGGAACTTGGAAACTCCCAATACTGAGCCATAGCTCCTCCTGGAAAGCAGGATTCCATGCTGAGTGTTGGTCAGGCCAGGTAAGATTGCTCCACTTGTCAGCAAGTGTATGGGCTGATTCCAGGGGAATGCAGACGGGAGAAGACTGGGTAGGATCAGGCAAAACCTTAGCACAAGGGCATGTGCAGGAGCCAAGATACAGTGTAGGCCATGCTGGGCTAGGATATCAAACCTATCAGTTTACATGAAAGTCAGGGATGGGGGCAGACAACAGAAGTCTGGGCTGAAGCACTGACCAGTAAGAATTGGAATTGGGAGTGGGCTGGGTCAGGCCAGG